AGACTTATCTGGCCTACTGGGAGAAGAACTGGACCAGCCTGGAAAACTAGGTTTCTTTCCCCTTCCCTGGAACAGTCGAATAAGCCCTAGATCCAGAAATATTCTGTAAGAATTATGGCACTATTAGACTTTATTACATGTAATACTACACTGCAAACAAAGGAATTTTTTCTTGTTTTAGGTAAAACATATCTAAACGTCTAAGCAACATTCATTTTTTTGAGAGGCAAAAAAAGGCTAATTTTTTTTTAGAGAATGCACATTAAATAAATAAATTTATTCATTCCTGTGGTAATTTGTTTTAAAGATGTATACTTAAAACAAGAAAAAAAAAGACATTTTGCCAGTAGACCGTGAACATATGTGACCCTGGACCACAAAACCAGTCATAAGGGTCAGTTTTTTGAAATTGAGATTTATACATCACCTGAAAGCTGATAAATAAGCTTTCCATTGATGTATGGTTTGTTAGGATAGGACAATATTTGGCCGAGATACAACTATTTGAAAATCTGGAATCTGAGGGTGCAAAAAAACTAAATATTGAGAAAATCACCTTAAAGTTGTCCGAATTAAGTCCTTAGTAATGCACATTACTAATCAAAAATTAAGTTTTGATATATGTATGGTAGGAAATTTACAAAATATCTTCATGGAACATGATCTTTACTTAATAGCCTAATGATTTTTGGCATAAAAGAAAAATCGATAATTTTGACCCATACAATGTATTGTTGGCTATTGCTACAAATATACCCCAGCGACTTAAGACTGGTTTTGTGGTCCAGAGTCACATATATTAATTCAAGAATGTTCTTTGGAAACAAGTCTTGAAATCTTTTCATGTTCTGTAAGCTGATTTTTTAAGAGGTTTTTACTGGATAACAGGACTAAAATTAAGAAAATGTATAAAATGTTATTTGATCAAAAGTCAGAAAGTCATTTTTAAGAACCTGCATACAGGTTTGTTGTAGGTGTCAAATGTTACACATAAACATTATAAAACTGGTTTAGTTATACTTACTGGATTAGTAAGATAATAAAAAAAGCACCAAATAATTAAAAAGGTCATATTTCTGTCATGCTCTTACTAACATTATTCATTTCTATTTGTCTGCCTCTGTAGGCGCAGCTGCAGTATTGATAAAGCTCCGTGCTCGCAACGGCACGCTGCACTTCTTTCCCATAGAAGAGACATTAATCGATCAGAGTCTCTGCGTTTTGACCCCACTGACAAAACACAACGTATCTTCCGACCCTCTGACCTAATATACGGGGAAGTTTTGGGAAAAGGTTGTTTTGGACAAGCCATAAAGGTAAAGCAATATGTCTGAATGATCACACTGAGTATCACTTGAGATCACAGACTGACGGAATGAAGGAATTAACTGCTTCCTTTGGGTTGTCAGGTGACGCATTCGGAAACAGGTGAGGTCATGGTGATTAAGGAACTTCTTCAATTCGATGAAGAGACTCAGAAGACATTCCGGAAAGAGGTCTGTTGTAGTTTTTTCTTTCTCAGACCACTAAGGAGCAAATGGATTGTTTGCTAATCGAAACATTTTTGGCTCCAGGTCAAAGTAATGAGATGCCTAGAACATCCTAATGTCTTAAAGTTTATCGGCATTCTCTACAAAGACAAACGACTGAACCTGATCTCTGAGTATGTGCAAGGAGGAACGCTGAGGGACACCATTCAGAAATTGGTTTGTTTTTTCCTTACTGTATATAGTCCATAGATTCTTGTCGAAAAGCATGCTGTTATGGTTCTGAGTTAATAAACTAATTTTTTGTCATAATTTATGACAAGGATCACCCTTGGAAACTTAGAGTGAGCTATGCCAAGGACATTGCCGCTGGAATGGTACGTAATGAAGAGCAATCCAACAATGCAAGAAAAGATGGAAATCTTTACATCAGATCTCCACACTCTTGCCGAATTCCTTAATACAAAGACATGTTTTGACAAAGAATATGAATCTGAAGCTATAGTTAGCATCCAAATACATGCATTTTCTCTGTCCAACCCAGGCTTACCTACATTCAATGAATGTCATTCATCGGGATCTGAACTCGCACAACTGCTTTGTCCGAGAGGTCAGAATACATCTCAGTACTTCTAAACGTAGAGCATGTCTCCAACTGAACTGAATTGTGTGACAGTACTGATTTTCCTCACAGAACCAAACAGTGGTAGTTGCAGACTTTGGTTTGGCCCAGCTTGTAAAGGAAGAAAAGAGCTCCTCTCCTGGACAAGTGTCCAAACTGAACAAGCTTGGTCGTAAAAAACGGTATACAGTGGTGGGCAACCCCTATTGGATGGCACCAGAAATGATCCAAGGTGAGCCATATGATATAACAATCAAAAGATTTACCATTTTTCAGGTTTGTAATTAATTTTTTTTTACATGTTATTTCTCACCCGCAGGAAAAATCTACGATGAACATGTTGACATTTTCTCATTTGGGATTGTTGTTTGTGAGGTGAACTTACATATTTCTCTACCTTTAGTCCAAATTTTGAAATAAATGTAATTGAACATACAGTATATGTATATTCCATCCTCATGGCAGATTATCGGAAGAGTATATGCCGATCCGGATGACCTCCCTCGCACACAGGAGTTTGGACTGAATGTGAATGAATATTTGGAGCGCTACTGGTCCAAAGATTGCCCTCCGGCTTTCTTTCCCATTGCGGTTCTTTGTTGTGCCTTGGAGGCTGAAAAACGGTGACTGTCATTTACATTTGTCATCTACATAACCTTACCATAAACAAAATCTCATATGCTGAAACGTGGCCTTTTCTCCCTATTTTTTCTATAGTCCCAGTTTTGCTAAATTAGAGGAGTGGCTGGAGAATCTAATGATGCACATGGAGATTGGACTTCCTCTGATGTCAGAACTAGATCAACTCCGCCAAGCATTTTGGGAGAACCACAGCCAGTCAAAACAAACTTATGGGATTCCTTCGAAACAGATGGAGAATTCAGCTTTAGGCAGAAGCTGAGACTTCATGTGATCTGTGGGCAGTTGCATAAAAGACTAGTCTTACAAGTTAGTCTGAACATGCAAAAAAATTTTTAAAGTCTGTTACATTAAAACCTAGATTTTTTTATTTATTTTGAATCAGAAAAATCAAGCGTAGCGTCAGTTCTGGCAGGCCACGTTAGTCAGGCTTGCATCAGCTGACCCTCAGTGGAGTTCTTGCCCAGAACAGAACCATACTGCCAATCCAAACTGTATTCTAATTGTCAGTCATCTTTGACGATAGTGGTCCTGACAGAAATAAGACTCATTACCCTTTGCTAACTGCTAGTTGGTCAGACTAGTTCTTAAGACACAATCTTAACACAGAGGCTAAGGTTATGCAACTGACCCCAGGTCATCAAATCCTCAGACTATTACAGTGGCCCCGCTTAAAAATGTATGAATGTAGTTAAATACTTTTCTGAGCCATTTTTGCAGTGAAATTTACTTTTTTTCTTAATTTTTAATGTTCATGTTTTGCTATGTAATACAAAGACATTATGTAGGCATTATGTTGTAATTATGTATTAATAATTTTTTTTTTTTTTTTACAAGGTTTCGGTAGTACAGTCTGCTGCAATCATTTTGTACTATTTGTACTGGTCTCAGACACAAAGGTGCTAATAGATTGTTCAAGAGAATAGTATTATAAATGTAAGCTAAAATGCTTTATAAAATTTATGAGTAGCGTAATATTTCTAGCGGATCTGTTATCTGTTGTAATTGTCTTTTTGTTTATGTCTCTATGTACGATTGTAGACTTTTTTTATTATTAATATCAGGCTATTATTTTTACATTCATGTATGCCTAATTTTGTGTTATACTGTGAAACTCAGGTGAAAGCTCCACCTGACGGAACGAATAAATGTCATGTTTTCATTTGATTTCATTTGAGCCAGTTTAACGGTTTAGTTCGGTCACCGAAACAGATCCCCTTTAACAAGTAGGAAATAATACCATTTTCATAGATTTACTATTATTTTACACGTTTACCATTGTCCGTTTGATATTTTACAGTTGATAAACTCTTGTTGTATTTTTTCAACCGTAATTGTAACGATGAATGTGCTGGTTGATGAGAGGTCATCGCTTTACTCATTTGTCTAGGCAAAACTAATATTTCTCAACAGTTGAGGAGCATAATGGATTTGCACAGTGAGTATTTATTAATATCAATAAACTTACGCTATGTAATAACGGTTAGTTTCACTCATTTAACTGAGGATCCAGGGCATTTTCATAGCTCGAAGCAACGACATATCTGGATATCTAAATGAGCAAACATTTGGATATCGGGTTGAAACTTAATGACCTTAACTAATCCTAAGAGTAATTACTATATTTAAACCACCTTAGGGTTCCCAGAAGGCCCAGAAATGAAATCAAATATGAATATAAATGTTTATATTAGCCTGAATTCGTTCTCTGATGTAGGCCTATACACTGTATATGTTGGTTATTAAGTCAAATTAATGTATTAAGCGAACGTTAAAGGAAAATACTATTTAAACATCCATCACTAGGGTCTCTCACAAAACAAACAAAAAGTCTAAAGTCTAACAGCATCTATTAAATATTTACAATATCTAACATCCACTATAGGTTTACAGATTGAGGACATTGACTTTCAAGGTAACATATCTGTCAATTTTTATGTTGGTGAACATTATTATTTATTCTTAGCAGTAAATTGCTGTTGTAGCACAAATATGTGTGCTATATACAGTTGGTGTTGTCAAGGAAATTACTTTCTAAAATTAATTGTTATTCATTTTTGTCTATTTCCCACGCCACATCATATTTTCATGAATATCTGCCATAGTAGGGGAGGTAGGTTTTATATTTCATACATAGTTTTCAAAAAGGTTTAGAAAAAAGTTAATATTCAGTTTACACAAGCTGCCAATCATCATATTCAGTCACATTATGCTTTTTTTGCTAGTTTTCCATAGCTCTGAATGACTCTGGAATGGAGAGTCTCCTCAGGGATCCTGACACTTCTCTTTGTGACTCCACTGAAGCAGAGGACAAAGATGAAAGTATCCGTTCGTCTCACATATTCGTCTCATCCTCTTCTCTGGCTGAAGATAAGACTCATCCCGCTGATGACAAATCACCTCTTAGACCCAAGAGTCCAGGGGGCAGCTTTGACCCTCCTGGCTTTTTAGAGGTAGTGTAACATGCTGCCCACCTGGAACTTCAGTGGCCAAAGTGTGATGAAGTCTCTCATGTTTACAAAGGATGCATTTATTTGATCAAAAAAACAGTAAAAACAGTAATATCATTACGCTTTAAAAAGATATATGATGTGATATACTGTACACAAACCAGATTATTTTTTACTGTCCATCCCAGAAATATGTTGGCATTGTGACGTTGCCAAACCAAGTCCAACAGAAAGCAGTGAAAAAGGGATTTGTGTTCAATCTGATGGTTGTTGGTAAGAAACATATAACATCCCAGACAGCAACATAGTGTTGGCCCAGATCCGGCCCACATCTGGCCCATGTGAAATCCATGCGGGCCAGATGTGGGCCGGATCTGGGCCGAAACTGTCTGCTGTCTGGGATAAATGCACACACACACAATGCCATTTTTTAAAAGAAATCTCTTATGCCCATCAAGGTTGCAGTTATTTTAAAAATAAAAAATAAATAAAACAGTAACATTGTGAAATAATATTACATTTTAAAACAACTGTTTTCTGCTTTAATGTATTTTTTTCCTGGACTGTATATAATCATAAAATATATAATTTGTATGTTTAGGTGAGTCTGGCTTAGGCAAATCCACTCTTGTCAACAGCCTTTTCCTCACAAACCTCTATATGGACAGATGCATGCCTGATGTTTCAGGTAAACCTAACATTAATGAACAACATTTATATACTACTTATAAAAGTAGTGTACTGAACTGCAGAGAAGATTAGATTGTGAAATGTATTAATATCTCTTTCACAGAGAAGATAGCTCGGACAGTATCAATAACGAAAAGCACTTTAGACATTGTTGAAGAGGGAGTAAATCTAAGACTCACTGTTATCGACACCCCTGGTTTCGGAGATGCCCTTAATAATCATGAAAGGTACTTTAAGTTTTAAATGTGTACTCAGTCATTTTTTGTTTATGTTCCACTCATTCATATGACAGTGGTCTTGAACTTATACTGACATAGTGGTCAAGATATATCATGCAACAGCAAAGAGTTTTATTACTAATTTATTTCCCTGTAAAACTGTCCAATAAAAGATGGTTTTGTGATATTTTTGTGAAATACAGCTCATCCTGTGCTCCCAGCCAGGCATCCCATGAGGCAACCATTCCATTTAAAATAAAACCGTAACACACTAAAATTTGTTTATTACTCTAAAAGTACCATTAAAGGGTTAGTTCACCCAAAAATGAAAATTCTGTCATTAATTACTCACCCTCATGTCGTTCTAAACCCGTAAGACCTCCGTTTATCTTCGGAACACAAATTAAGATATTTTTGATGAATTCTGAGAGCTCTCTGACCCTCCCATAGACAGCAATGCAATTACCACGATCAAGGTCCAGAGACGTAGCAAGGAGATCGGTAAAATAATCCATATGACATCTGGTGTTCAACCGTAATTTTGCGAAGCTACAAGAATACTTTTTGTACACAAAGAAAACAAAAATAACGACTTTATTCAACAATTCGTCTCCTCCGCGTCACCCTGGTGCCATTTTGGAGAGTCTCCACTGAACGTAAACAGCGTATGCTATTCTGTGTTAGCTGCGTCACGCAGATACGTTGTTTTCATTCAAATCAAAGTGTAAACGTAGAAAAGTAGAAAAGTAGCTATACATCACCAGTTTAGTAACTTGCATAGTTATTTGTTTCATACATTGTCTAGTTGCTTGAGAGGTGGTTTTCTCCCAAATTCGGAAGTATGGTTAGCAATTTTTTTTTTGCATGGTCAAAAAAGAAGAATTTCAGAATAACAGCACTGGTTATTGAGCACTTCATTCAATATTTTGACATGTTTAAAAAGCTGTTTTAGAATTATGAAATTTAATCACATAACTTGGGTGACCGCTTGCAAATAGGAAATATTAAAAATGCAAAAAGGTATTTACACATGGTTTTTCTTGCAGCTGGAAGGCCGCAGTTCATTATGTAGATCAGGAGATGGAGAAGTACCGCAGAAATGAGATCGGGCTGAACCGTAAAAACATAACAGACAACAGAGTGCACTGCTGTCTGTACTTCATTTCACCTCATGGCCATGGGTAAGACCTCTTCTCGGCACAGGTGTTTTTGTGTTTATTTCTATCTCAGGATTTTAGTAACAATGAAAATAGAGACCATGTTCAATTAACAAATTTCCTTTGTGCTGTCTCAGTCTCAAACCAATTGATGTGAACTTTATGAAAGCCCTGGATCAGAAGGTCAACATTGTGCCTGTGCTGGCTAAAGCAGACAGCCTCACTCCAAAAGAGACCTGCAATATGAAGGCAAAGGTGAGAAGGCGCGTGTACTGAAAGTCTGAGTAAGCTCACATACAGTGATAGATGTTTCTAAAGTGTATCATGTCGATATTTTTGAGAACATGGGACTGTCAACAAAAACCACCAGATGAGCTATCTAAACAAATTGCATTTGTCTCCATAGATTTTGACTGAAATTGACAAATTCAAAATCAGGATCTTCCAGGTCCCAGAGTGTGACCCGGATAATGGAGATCTGTTCAAGCAGCAGACTCTAGAGTTAAAGGTCAGGACTACAGGTCACAGAGTAGTGACTATTAGTTTCTTTTAGAAAAGAGTCGCAGATTTTGTTTTGCTTCTTAAAAGTTGTAATGACACATATTCTTTCCCCAAAAAAGTACCCAAAAGAATCAAAGTACTGTCAAATGCACTAATTTAAAATTAATACTGAAGCATTTATAGTAAACTAATGCCATTTTATTGAAACTTGTATGTCATGTATTTAAATATATTTGTTAATTACACATTTGTAATGATGAAAAGTACATTTAGTAAATTTAATATATAGTAAAGGGAACACACACAGTTTCGCTCAATCTCATTTTAATCTCGAATACCTATAGAGTAGTACTGCATCCTTCATATCTCCCAAGAGTCTTTAGTTTTATCATATTTATAAAAGAAAGACACAGTTTTACTATTCTCTGAAAACAACCGAGATCCCGGAGGTGCACTGTGGGTGGAGCTAAAGAGTCAAGAGCACTTGCGCCGCCGACTGCCAACAAAATACAGAAATTTGATGCAGTTTTACTTACCACCCGCAGTTCTGAATCATGACCGGGATCTTTTATTGCTGGGATCGCTCCATCTTTCAGTATCAAACGATGTGCAAATCCAGCGTCGAACTGGGCCTTGTATATAAAACATTCGTCACCCCTCCTTTAACTTTTAATGTAATATCATATTACACACTACAGTTAAAATAATCAATACTTTACATGTGCTTTAGTATGTTAGTATACATAAAAATGATTGTACTTTAAAGCACAATAGTTGATTATCGAAAAATAATTATTTAAAATGTTCTTTAGAGTAAAACTTTTAATTTGACATTATTATGAAGTGAACTATTTAAAAGTGTATTTACATGTGTTAAAAACAGTCATGAAAGTGTACTGTCCATTTATTTAATTGGTAGTATATTATTTACAAGTACAGTTTTTATAAATATACTTTTAACATTTTAAGTAGAGTACAAGTGCACATTCAATATAAATAAGTGCACTTTTTATTTACTCGTTTATTTTGATCTTATTTTATTTTTTACAAGGGTTTATCTTGTTGCCTATTTGTTAATATTTATAAAACTTTTGACAACTCTAAAATGTTTCCATGTCCTCTTATAGAGAAGTATACCCCTTGCTGTTATTGGGAGTAATACAGTAGTAGAGAGAAACGGCAGGAGAGTTCGAGCCCGTGTCTATCCATGGGGCATTGTAGAAGGTATGTTTACTTACACCATGAGATGTTACATTTATACTAGGGATGCACGATATTATTGGACCAATATCGGAATCGGCTGATAATGGCTTTAAATGTAAATATCGGCATCGGGCCGATATGAAAAATAATGCCGATATGTCTTGCCGATAAGAGGAATACATGAACTCACATGTGCTCAGGGTGTGCTAGCGATTAGATCACATCAGCAGTGTGGCTCATTCTTGAAGCAAAGTTTTGCCTGAATGGTGTTTGGATTCACTGTTTTGGATCGCTGCATTTAAACCGAGAATGCATGTACAGAATGAAGCGTTAGATGTATGATAGAGTAAACAGTAATACCACGTGCAGCGGCAGCCGCAGCAGCCTCCCCCGGAGTTTTAATTCCATAGGGGGCGCTGTTGGCCTACTTCTAATAAAATGA